GATCCAAACTCCTGCCCGCGGAAACAACCACAAAGGCGCCGTTAATAATAATAGCAGCAGCTGCCACTCACGCCGCCCTGGGCACGTGCAGGTGCTACCAACGCTTCTTGTAAGCGCTTGGCACATGCTGATGGAGCTAACCCGCCCACCAACCCTGCGAGGCGGGCGCTGTTAGCCTTAGTGACAGACGGGGAAACCGAGGCACAGGGCGGTGTAGTGTGGCTTCAGGCTCTACCCGCTTCGCCGCGCTACACCACGCTGTCCCGGACCACGGACCCGGCGGGAAGCCAGGAAGTGAGCGGCAGAGCACCCGGTGGCCCAGACCAACTCCTGAGCCTGGAGTGGACACACCCTCACACGCCCCTCTCCCGGGTGTGCGCCCTGCTCAGACCACACCATCACTAACCCTCTCCCGGAGCGCCCCCAGGGTCCCCGCCCGCCCGGCACGGGGGTGACGGCACAGGTGGGAGACATACGCTCCCTGCCAGTTCCCATACTTGGGCCTGGGTTCTGGGGGATGAGAAGCCAGGGTCACCAAGACATGGCGGGCTACCTGGTCAAGACGCCCGCGGAGAGCTGGCGGCTGGGCCTTCGCTGTCAGTGAAGGTGTCACACCGATGGTGGGAGGCCGATGGCCACAGGCCCTCATCGGGGAGCAGGATCCCACCCACCTCTGCCCTGAGGATGGAGCCCACCCTCCCACTGGCCTGATCCTGCTCCGAGTCACCCCCCAGCCTCCTGACCGATTCCTGGCCCCTGGTGGGGGAGGGCAGACCTTCGTGTCACCCGGTGCTCCACTGGTCAGGGAGGGGGGCCTGGTCACCCCGGCCCTCCACTGGTCAGGGAGGGGGGCCTGGTCACCCGGCACTTCACTGGTCAGGGACGGGGGCCTGGTCACCCCGGCGCTCCACTGGTCAGGGAGGGGGGCTTGGTCACCCAGACCCTCCACTGGTCAGGGAGGGGGGCCTGAGTCCTCCTGGTGCCAGAGAAGGGGCAGGTCCCATGGCCACAGGCTGCGATCAGCCTTGTCCCCAGCCCCAGGGGCTTTCCATTTAGGACTGACCTTGTCCGCCCAGCATGGTGTATTCCAGGTCCTGGGGGATCTAACGCAATTCCTTCCTGCTGGGGTCTCCCCTTGGCTCTTGGGGTCCAACCTCAGCCTTACCCACAGGGTCGAGCCTCAGACCCGCTCTGCAGCTGGACAGCGCCCCACAGTGTCTTTCACAACCTTTCCTCCCCTTCAAGCTCCACCTCCTCGCTTCCCCAGTGGTTCTAGTCTCAGGTCCAGAGCTCTCCACGGGGCTCTCACCCGTCCTCCCTGCAGGTCCAACCCCAGCTTAATATTCTGTGCACACCAACACATATATTCTTTGCTGATCTGACACACAAACACAAAAAGGTGTAATTTTTATTTGTTCACATCAAACGGCTGTTGTCATTTAAGAAATATACTTTTTAAATTGATTTCAGAGACAGAGAGGGAGAAAAACATCAACGATGAGAGAGACATCAACCATGGATCAGCTGCCTCCTGCACACCCCCTCCTGGGGATCCAGCCACACTCAGGCATGTGCCCTGAGAATCCAACTGGCGACCTCTTGGTTCACAGGCTGGTGCTCAACCACTGAGCCACACTGGCCATGCGGGAGCTGTCATTTTTTTTACTTGACAATCTAAGGGGAAGAGGTCCGTGCCCTGTCTAAACAGTCAGGTACTGCATGCTTTAACACTTCTCGCGGCACTGGCTGGAAACCGCTGCCCTGTAGTCTGGTCTTTTCCACAGAGGTTTAACCTCAGCGTTTTGGCGAGGGCCCAGCCTCATTTCTCTCCTCCAAGGTCTACACTGCGGCCTCTTCTCAGTCCTGCCTCTGGTCTATCCCTGGATCCTCTCTCCCATGTCCCTCCCTCCGTTCTTCTGGGCGAGTCCAGCCCAGCACCTGGCACCAGGCTCTCAGGACTTGCTGAACAAAAGAATAAAGACAACAGGAAGTCCAGCTCCTCAGGACATAAAACAATCGGTGGCTGGCCAGTTCTCACCTGCAGCGGAAGGGGGGCTGGGTGAGACCACCCCATTTGCAATGGGGACACTGAGGCACAGAGGAGTGCGCTAGGTGAGGTCGCAGGGCGCCCTGGGACAGAGCCAGGGCAGGAACTCATAGTCCCAGCACCTGGGGGCTGGACAGGCATGCCCTCCTTCAGGACTCTTGCCCCCCAGGAGGGCCTGGAGGTGAGCACCCCAATGGGGGGCAGTGGGTGGGTGCTCAGGAGGCTGACGTCCCAGCAGGCCCCGGGCCCACCCTGTCCCCCAGCACTTGTGACTGACGTCTCCTCTGCTCCACTTGGTGCCGAAGCCGCGTCAGGACCAGCTCCGAGGCCTGAATCAGACTGTGCTGGGGGAGCAAGAGAGAGAGGGCGGGGCTGAGAGAGCTGAGGGGTGCAGGTCAGACCACCCCAAAGGCTTGGAGCCCAGCCATGGCGGGGGCCCGAGAGCAAACCAGTGTGCGGGTGGGACAGGTGTCTGGCGGGTGAAGGTTAGACTCAGGGGGCAGCCTTCAGTGAATTCCCAGTGGGAGGAACCAAGCCTGGGCCCAACTGTTGGTCGGAGGTTAGAAGTTGATGAAAGAGATGGGGTGGATCAAGATGTGAGAGAGACTGCGTTCTACAGGAGGGAGGTCTGACCCTGGAGAGGCCGAGGCGAGGCCACAGGCAGAGACACAGGTGACACACTGGAGGAAAGGAGAGGCCGACAGGACAGAGGAGGGCAGAGAGAGGAATGTCCCACATGGGGATGGGGCGGGCGCGGAGCTAGATGGCTGGGGAGTCTGAGGTGGGACCGTTATAGAAGGGACAGAGATCTCAGTGAAATGGCTCGAAATGGATTGCAGTGTCGGGTGATGGGAGGGTCAGAGCCCAGCAAAGGGCAGTCCTGCCGCCACCGCAGACACCTCCCCTGTGGCCTAACCTCAGAGCTTTCCAATGAGATGAACCTGTCCTTTCCATTTTTAAAAAAATTTACACACACACACACACACACACACACCTCCTGTATAATAAAACCCTAATATGCAAATTAACTGAACAGCGGAACGACCGGCTACGACACACAATGACCACCAGGGGGCAGACCCTCAAAGCAGGAGCTGCTTCCTGGTGGTCCTCTCGCCGGAAGCCAGGTTGACAGCTGGCAAGTGCAGCAGCAGTGGCAGGAGCCTCTCCCACCTCCGCAGCAGGGCTAAGGACCCCTTGGGGGATGCTGGCAAGTGGACATCCCCCGAGGGGTCCTGGACTGCCAGCGGGATGTCTGACTGCCAGCTTAGGCTCGATCCCCCCCGGGGAGCAGGCCTAAGCCAGCAGGTGGACATCCCCCGAGGGGTCCTGGACTGCGAGAGGGCACAGGCCGGGCTGTGCACCGGGCCTCTAGTATAAAGAGAAAGAGAGAGCGATACATCGATTTGTTGTTCCACGTATTTTTGCACTTTTGGCTGATTCCTGTATGTGCCCTGACTGGGAGCAAAGCCACAACCTTGGTGTATTGCGACAGCACTCTAACAGAGCCACCCGGCCAGGGCCCTATACCCTTTCTATGAGGCTCTAACCTCAGACTGCTCCGGAGCCTAACCCCATTCCGTTTTACTCGGGTCTAAACTCATCCACTGGTGCAACTCAGACCCTTCCCCTGGGGTCTGCCCTGCATGGGTGCCCTGAGGTCTAACCTAGGCCATTCCCCTGAGGGACAGACGGGAGGACAAGCCCAAGCAAGACTCAGAGGGGGCAGTAAGGTTAGAGGCAGTAGAGAGAACCCAGGCTGGACAACACGGAAAAGGATCCTGGAGTCGGACCCGGTGGAAGGAGAAACAAATACCACGTTAGGAAACGCATACTCACCATGGCCTAAGGCGGCGGTTCTCAACCTGTGGGCCACGACCCCTTTGGGGGGCAAACGACCCTTTCACAGGGGTCGCCTAAGACCATCGGAAAACACATATATAATTACCTATTGTTTTTGTGATGAATCACTATGCTTTAATTATGTTCAATTTGTAACAATGAAAATACATCCTGCAGATCAGATATTTACATTCTGATCCATAACAGTAGCAAAATTACAGTGACGAAGTAGCAACGAAAATAATTTTATGGTTGGGGGTCACCACAACATGAGGAACTGTGTTAAAGGGTCGCGGCATTAGGAAGGTTGAGAACCACTGGCCTAAGGGGCGGGGGCTGGGCCATGGGGAAAAGGTCAGAGGTCAGACTATATTAGCAGGAAGTGAAACTGCAATGGAGGTTCCCGGGTTGGACCCTGGACCACTGGAACAGCTGGATATGAGACTGTGACGGGGAAACGGCAGTCAGGCTGCTTGGGAGGGTCAGGGGTCAAAGTACAGCAGAAAGCTGGACAGTGGGCCACAGCCCTCAGGCTTGACCACAACAGAAAGTTGGGAGGTTGGACTAAGGAAGGGCTCGAGGTGGCCAGAGCGGAAAGCTGGGGACTGGCTGCGGAAGAAGGGCTGGAGGCCGCACTGCGGGCAGGGAGGGAAGTGGGGCTCCGGGGCGGAAGCTCAGCAGCTGCTGCTGGGAGGCCACGGCCAGAGTGAGGCTGGTCACGCGCACAACAGGGGTGGCTGCAGCGAGGAGGGCACAGTCATGGGGCAAAGGGAAGGATGGAGGTCAGATCACAGGGGCAGGTTTGGGCCAGGCCACAGGGAAGAGAAGGTGACAAAGCATGAGGAATGAAGGACAAAAGTCAGGGAGGCTGAGGGGCACTGGGGGGACAGATGCTGTGTCAGAATCCCCTTCACGGGGGGGGGTGCTCCCCCAGCTGTGAGTGCTCCCCCCAGCCATGCGTGCTCCCTGCCAGCTATGAATGCTCCACCAGCTGTGAGTCCTCCCCCTAGCTGTGAGTGCTCCACCAGCTGTGAGTCCTCCACCTAGCTGTGAGTGCACCCCCAGCTGTGAATGCACCCCCAGCTGTGAGCATTCCCCCAGCTGTGAGTGCTCCCTCCAGCTGTGAGTCCTCCCCCTAGCTGTGAGTGCATCCCCAGCTGTGAATGCACCCCCAGCTGTGAGCGTTCCCCCAGCTGTGAGTGCACCCCCAGCTGTGAGTCCTCCCCCAGCTGTGAGTGCTCCCTCCAGCTGTGAGTGCTCCCCCTAGCTGTGAGCGCTCCCCCAGCTGTGAGCGTTCCCCAGCTGAGTGCTCCCCCAGCTGTGAGTGCTCCCGCAGCTGTGAATGCTCCCTGCCAGCTGTGAGTGCACCCCCAGCTGTGAGTCCTCCCCCAGCTGTGAGTGCTCCCTCCAGCTGTGAGTGCTCCCCCTAGCTGTGAGCGCTCCCCCAGCTGTGAGCGTTCCCCAGCTGAGTGCTCCCCCAGCTGTGAGTGCTCCCGCAGCTGTGAATGCTCCCTGCCAGCTGTGAGTGCTCCCAGCTGCCCCTTCTCCTGGGAGCTCTCCTAAGTCAACAGGAACCACCTCCCAGAAAAAGATTACTCCCACCCCCCAGAGGGGGCCTGCAGCCAATCCCCTTGCCTAAAGGTGAGAGAATGTAGCCCCCCTGCCCCCCACACACACACATTCCCCGTGAACATGCCCTCAGTCAAGCAGGTGTACGAAAACCCATCTCAGGCTCCGCTTCCAGGGACCCAACCCGCGGAGCCCGCTACCTGCAGGATGTGCACGCCCTTCAGGGAGACCACGGCGAGCTCCCGCAGCCCGTCCCCGGTCAGGTCCACGTGGGCCATGGCCAGCAGCGGGCTGGGGAAGCTCCTCTGCCACAGCAGGCGGAATCCGCACTCGGCCTCGGGGAGCCCCGGCTCGGGGCCGCAGTACTTGTAACAGAGCAGCTCCTGCAGGGCGAGGGGCTGGGTCACCCAGGGCGGCGGGGACAGTGAGGGGAGGGCGGGTGTCAGCCTTCCCTCAGGTCCTACCTGCCCATAGGTGGCCACCAGGACTTCCGGTTGCCCGTCCAAATCCACATCGGTGACCAGACCACAGAGGACGCTGTCAAACTGGTCGCTGCCAGGCAAGAGAAGCTGGTCCTCCAGCCCCCGGCTCAGCAGGTCCCTGAGGGTCCCCAGCGCAGGGGCAGGCTGAGGTCAGATCGCAGCGCCCACCACCCTTAGTGCCAGACCCTGGGCCAGGGCCCACACAGCTCCACGTCGAAGGTCTGCACACCCTCCTGAAGCCTGGACACCCCCCTGGTCTCCCTCATCTCCAACCTGATCATCTTCCTCTCCACCAAGGGGAGCTCAAACCCTTACTCCAACTGCCCACCGGCTGCTCCCCCATCTGGAGCCCCACACCTCCCCCTGGGGGTGGGACCCCCTGACTCCCAAATGGAAACCGACATGGGCTCCTTGGGGATCTAGACACCCTCACTGTCCCCATGGAGCCTGGAGAGCTTGGTCCCCATTGGGGCCTCCTCACGGCCCACCAGGTGCGCCACAGCTGCCTCGTGCTGGCTCACCAGAGGAAATGCTCACAAGCTTGGCCAGCCTGTTGGCATCATGTCAGGGGCCTGAACTCCGCCCTGGCGGGAGTATTTACACCATGGGAATCGGCAAATGCTACAAATCAAGCTGTTCTCACACACGATGGCGGTCTCACACACCTGCCAGCAGGCTTTCTCCCCTCCTCCAGGGAGAGCGGAGAGCCCGTGCCCATCCAAGGCCTCCACGTGCCCCTACAAGTTCTAGACTTAAACACTTGCACCCACTCCCTGGGCCATGAACACCTTTACCTGCCCAGCCCTGAGCCACCTCACCCAGAGGGACAAGGTCAGACCACAGAGCAAAGGTCTGAGGGGAGACGGCACCCACGCGCCCCGGGCCCCTCACCGATACACCACTGCCGGCTCCAGCATGCTGGCCACGAGCACGCTGTACTCTTCCCGCTGTGGCCCGTCCTCGGCCTCTGGAGAAAGAACATGAATGGGGGGTAGGTCTGAGGGGACGGGCCCAGGGTCCTCCTCGGACCTCCCTCCCCTCGGTGAGAGGAACAGAGATTGGACCTCAGGGGAAAGACCTGAGGGTGTGCTAGAGGGAGGGGCAGAGCTTAGAGGAGGAGAGAGTGACCGAGGTCAGAGGCCAGGAGGACAGAAGGTCTGGGGTTAGACCATGACAGCAGAAGAGGCAAAAGCTGGTGACAGCAGGGAGGTCCAAGGCGAGACCACAGCAGAAAAAGGAATGCTGGGGAGGACAAATAAACACCAGCCTGGGGGACAGATGGCAGCTGGCCGAGGTCAGGCCCAGGGAGACAGCAGCGAAGGGCGGACCCGGTAGGAGGAGCAGAGCGACACGCGGGGGGAGAGGCGAGGCCTTGAGTGGTGAGACAGCGAGGCCTCAAGAAAAGCCGCGGCGGAGAGCACAGCGCAAGAGTGAGGACAGAGCAGGGAGAGTGAGGACAGAGCAGGGAGAGTGAGGACAGAGAGCGCAGGGGTGAGGTCAGACCCCCACGCAAAGGCAGAGAAGACCACAGGGGCGGGCGCTGGAAGGAAGGCGGAGAGTGAGGACAGAGCAGGGAGAGTGAGGACAGAGCAGGGAGAGTGAGGACAGAGCAGGGAGAGTGAGGACAGAGCAGGGAGAGTGAGGACAGAGCAGGGAGAGTGAGGACAGAGCAGGGAGAGTGAGGACAGAGCAGGGAGAGTGAGGACAGAGCAGGGAGAGTGAGGACAGAGCAGGGAGAGTGAGGACAGAGCAGGGAGAGTGAGGACAGAGCAGGGAGAGTGAGGACAGAGCAGGGAGAGTGAGGACAGAGCAGCAGGGAGAAGGACAGAGCAGGGAGAGTGAGGACAGAGCAGGGAGAGTGAGGACAGAGCAGGGAGCCCAGAAAGCCACAGTGCAGGGGTGAGGTCAGACCCCCACGCGAAAGGCAGAGGAGACCACAGGGGCGGGAGCTGGAAGGGAGACCTGAGGGCGTGGAGGGAGGGGAGCAGGCGGGAGGGCCCGAGGGAGGGATGAGGGCTGGACGCGGGAGCAGGGCACGGATATAGGTGCGGGGTCGCCGAGCCTGTAGAGTTGTCCCCATGTCCAGGGCTCACCCTCGGGGGCCGACAGGCTGAACACGATCACGCGGGAGATAGGGCCATCCTGCAGGACCGTCCACATCTGCAAAACCTCTGCGGGGAGGAGGGCACTCAGGGCCCTGCCGCCGCCCCCAGCCCCCTATCCCTACCCCCCAGGCCCTGCCATCACCTCGACTCCGCTGGTCCACATGGGCCACGCGGACATAACCACTCTGACAGCCGAGGGCTGACAGTCGCCGGGATGTGCCAGGGAGGTTGTGGACGTCCAGCCAGAGGACACTGGAGGGGGAGCAGGCGGACAGAGGGGCCGGAGGCCGTCACGGGGTCCCAGTCCCTCATTCCACCTCCCCACCCGGCCCGCCCTGTAGCCCTGGGACCCTCGCTGCTGCCTGATTTCTCTGAGGTAATCCCCGCCACCCGACTTCTCTAGGGGTCCATTCCCACGACCTGGTTTCTCTGCGGCCACCTGCCCTGGTCCCGTCCGGCCGCTCTCCTACCTGCTGGTCAGGTTGGTGAGCTCTGGGAAGAGATTTTCCACGGGTTGTTCCTCAAACTGGTGCAGCCCCTCGTTCTGGGAGAACCAAGACCCAACCCCCGCTTGGATCAGTGGCCATCCCCTGATGCTGCCAGCAGGGCTGTGCCCGCCATGCCTCCCCCTGCCTCACCTCCTTGTAGAGATGAATGGCCGGGTCATTCCCGCTCAGGAGAAACACGGTCTCCAGCTGATCCCCCACCTGGACCCTGAAAGCAGAGACATCTAGGACCCCAGTGTGGCAGAGCCCGAGAGCGGCAGAGTCTGCAAAACCTCTGCCCGCAAGAACCCTAACGCTGTGGGATCCAGGGCCAGAACCTCAGGATGCAGAACCATAGAAAGTTAGCCTGCAAGAACCTCCCATTTCTAGAGCCCTCGTCTGCTAGAGTCTTCGTTCCGGATGAGATTTAGAAACCCTATATAATAAAAGGCTAATATGACAATTGT